TCAGAAACTGAGGAAAGAGAGCGTAAATCGCCTTCCATCGCCACGGTGCAGGATGCCACAAAATTGAGGGACAATGGTGGTCGCACGCTGCATTTTGGGCTGGTTTGTCCGACATTATATTTCTAGTATCCTGTGTCCATCTCGGAAGGCATTTTCTATCAACCCTGGCGGAGAAACGATGCGTAGGAACGTTGCAGGGCTGTGCGGTTTTCGAGCAATCTCATCAAATTATCGAACACAAGGATCTCTGAAATTGCTCGGTGGCGGCGGCGGTGATAGCAGCGCGTAAACTGGTCACTTGGTTTGGTCAGCGGTGTTATCCCCAGCTCTCTTCTCCGTCTTTGTAGTGTTATCCGTACATGTCATCCCTGTTGTGTTATCCTCGCCGCGGTGTTATCCCGCTCTCCCGTCTCTAGCGGCGTATTCCTCGGCTGTACGGACCCGATTCCCACTCGGCCGGCCCCGGTATGCGCGGTGGGGGCGGCGCCGCGCGGGTCAGCGCTGGGCCGGAGAGTCTGGTCCGTCACGGGCTCTGTGACCCGTCCGACCCACGGCCCCCTGTCTCGGCCCGTCGGTCTCCCGGTCCGACCGGCCGCCATACCGGCGGGCGGCCGGTGCGCGTCGTCCGCCACCTGGCCGCCGTCATGAATGGGCGGCGGTGCTGGCGGCAGCGGCGGCGGCGGCGGCGGCGCGCCGCCGGTCGATACTCGGCCGGCCGGCCGCCCGCTCGGCCGGCCGCCCCGCGCCGGAAACAGTCGGCCCGGAAGCGGCGCGGCGGCCGGCACGGGCGGCGCCGCTGCCGCCGCCGCCGCCGCTGCCGCCGCTGGCTCGTTGGTGTGTGTGCGTGAGGTGTGCGGGCGTGGTGCGCCATGGTGCGCACCACGCGCCATGGCCCACAGTGCTGACACCATGCTGGACATCAGTGACAAAGTGCGGCGCCATCTGCGACACTTGTCCAGCTCCAGCTCGACATCCAGTGGCTGCAGCCATGCCAAGTAGGTAGACCGACGGGAGTCTCAGTTCTCACTGTTTTAGCGACCTCGGTAGATCAGAGAGGAACCTGCTCTGCCGCTCTGGAACCGATTCACAGCTGGCATTGGTCATCCCGTCTGTGAAGTTGCGCTTTGTGAGATTGTTTGAGCTTTGTAAGCCGCGAAGTGTCGCCTTCAGTCGAAGCCGATACGGCTTACTTGTAATATTCTCCAGTTCAGTATGCCCCATATCCACCCTACCCTATCTCGCCGCAGTAGGGTCTACTCTACACTAAGGAATCGCTGATGATAGTCTTTCTTCGGACTAGTCCTTTATCCCTTGCTTTTGGTTCCACTGCGACCGCTATCTTGTACACTTCAAACCGCACCTGACTGTCTGAGCCTTTAGCCAATGAAACGTCATTGACTGAGGGGGAGGGGGGGGGGGGCGTATAGCAGTTACAGCACCATCCTCAAATCTACAAAACCAAGCCATAAGCATCGCAGCGAGTCAATTAGAAAGGTCTCATCCAGACGCAGTTGAAATTTTTAGGTCACATGACTGATTAAGGTCAAAACAAAGGTCAAAATAGGGCCTCTCCGCATTTTGGGCTCTAGCGATTGCAGTGTCAATGATGTTGAGCCCAATTTTTGTGTTAGATAATGACGAAGCGCTGAAAGTTGAAACAGCTATGCATAAGTGCTGAAGTTATACCCGTGCTTAAGGTCAAGGTCAGGTAAAGAAGGGTCAGTGATTTTGAAAGCTTCATAAATAAATGATATGCCACACATGTACCAGTTTTGACCACGGAGTCATCAGCAAATGTGACTACTAGATGAAGACATCATTGTCCTCTGGAATTGTCCTTTAGATGCAGATAAGCTCAGGATGCCAATGGAAGCCAGACTCAGTTCCTCACTCGGTCTTCTGTCATGTCAATGTTAGGCAGAGCTTGTATGTCAGCGCTAACTGCTCTGTGTTCCTTGTGATGCTGTCTTTTCCTTTTCATGGGTGAAGGCTGCTCTCAGTCTCAGCGTAACTAAAGCAGCTGTCTCAGTCATGCGGCTCATCAGATGGAACTGGCTGATCGGTTGCCATCCAAATGCGGCAAAGCTGAACAGTGAACATGCGTTTATGCAAAGCTTCTCGTCGCCGATGATCAGAGTGAGCAAGAAGAACGTAGCCTCACTCCTCACACGGACACAGACTTTGCTGATACGGGCTATTGAAACATACTTTGCTAACGCTTGAATCTACTGATGTCTCATTGACGACTTATTTCGATGAGCGGCTCAACAACAAAACAGATTGTTTGCACAAAACCAAAATCATTTTGCTATTTAGGTGCTCAATCAATATTCAGATTTCAGACCTTGTCGAGCGTCCTCCCCCTGACATTCACATTTCCCCGACTAGTGGATATCTGAATTGGATATCGGTCGGCCGTGTGCCTTGTCTAATGGTGCGGGGGCGGGGGCGGCGCTGGGGGCGGGGGCGGTATTCTGGGCGGCGCTCCGGCGGCCCGTGTGCCGCCCGGCCGGCCTCATAAGCCGCCGTAATTCGGAAATTGGCTGGGCTATTTCAATCTTGCCGCGGCAGAATTTCCGCCATGGCGGCCGCCCCATTGGCCGCTCTCCGACGGTGGGCGTGGCCGGCGGAAACCCTGACGTGACGGTGTGGGACGTGACGCTGTGACGTAAGAGACGTGACGGTGTGACGGCACGGCGATGTCCGTTACCACAGTGATGCAAATGGGGTTCACGAGTGGCCATAAATACCCAAAAGTCAGGTTTACCAAATTGAGTTAATTGCGATATGGCCGAGTAGACAAATGTTTGGGGCATCTGAAATCACATGGTTTTCATGTTTTTGTCAAAACCTGCCTCGTGTATAATCGTCAGAAGTTGTGACATTTTCTAGGTCGTAAAATGACGGTCAGACACTCGCAAGTTCAAACGCCGCTGGTTTGCGTTCATTTCGTACAAATTGAAAAAATTATGCATGAGAATGATCCCCAAAGCCTTCTGCTTCTAATGCCGGGTCACAAAAAGCCGTATCTCATTCGCTTTGGCGGTAATCTGACTATTTATCATCATGTTGCAATCGCAGTTTTTTACTAAGAAAAAAAATGCTTTCGTTTCACCTACAGCACTTAACACAGTGTGTGCCCGTTAGTCCACCATAACATAGCCTTCCCTAATCATTTCTGAGTCGCATCGTTAAAGAATTAAGGCGCTAGCACAGGGCTGACCGGCGCTACAGAGGTTTTTGTCCGGGCGGTCGGGTGCCGCAGTGGGCGCGCAGTGGGCGAGTGGGTGCCGCCGCGCGGCGTCCGGGCGGCGCGGCCGCCCGGGCCGCCCGCTGCGCCGCGGCACCCGACTGTACCGGACGAAAACTTCTGTAGCGCCGGTCAGCCCTGTGCTAGCGCCTTAATTCTTTCACGATGCGACTCAGAAATGATTAGGGAATGCTATGATATGGTGCACTAACGGGCACACATTGTGTGAAGTGCTGTAGGTGAATTGAAAGCAAATATTTTTGTTAAAAAACTGCGGTTGCAACATGATTACAAATAGTTAGCTCACCGTCAAAAAAAAAAATAGATACGGCTTTTTATCACGTGGCATTAGAAGCAGCAGGTTTCGGGGATCATTTTCATGTATAATTTTTGCAGTTTGTATGACATGCACGCACGCTAGCGGCACTTGAATTTCAAGTACCTGACAGTCATTTTTACGACATCGAAAATGTCTCGACTTCTGACAATCCTACACGAGGCCGGTTTTGACAAAAACATTAAAATCATACTTTTTCAGACACCCCAAACATTTGCCTGACTGACCATATTACGATTTATTCGATTAAGTGAACTTGAATTTTGGGCCTTTTTCGTATTTATGGCCACTCGTGAACCCCATTTGCATCACTGTGGTTACGGGGCCTCAGCACGAGACGGGAGGGACAGTGGTGCTTGCTTTCGTTGTGCTCTTACGCGCCAACCAGAGCGGCTTCACGTCTGCCTCCGCTGGTGTCGGGGCTCGTCTCCCACAGTTAGCAGGATCCTTTCGATGATAGAAGTAGTCTGTGATCGATCGTTCTTGTGCGCTTCTGCTGCTACTGTGAAACTTCGACCGTGGATCGACCCAAGGTAATTTATAGGTGTGGCGGCCGATGTGTGAATGGACTAAACGTGACCGTAGAGCCTAGAGGTGTTCTTCGGAACCAGGGACTCGCCTGTCCCAACCTCATTCATCTGACCTACGAGACTCTCGATCACTGAAGGCCGCAACAAGCGTCTTTGATGATCTTGGCGTTTTTTATAATTAAGATTTCTCACTCTTGACCGCTGTGTGGACACCTGCGTTCTCTGCTGTGTGGTTTGTTTGTTGTGTCGTCTGGGGCGTCTTTGGGTTGTGTGATGGAAGCAGGGCGCGCTGTGCTCGCTGGTGCCCCAGCACCCTGCAATCGGTACCCTAGAGCACTCTATGCCCGCTGGGAACTGACGTTTCCCCCTCCTCGTTCGGTTTCAGCGGCGGCAGCTTGGTACTAGTCCAGGCCCAGGTGATGATGGAACTCGTTCAGACCCAGGGTGACTGACGTTTCCCCTCCTCGTTCGGTTTCAGCGGCGGCAGCTTGGTACTAGTTCAGACCCAGGGTGACTGACGTGCCCCCTCCCCGTTCGGTTTCAGCGGCGGCAGCTTGGTACTCGTTCAGGTCCAGGGTGACTGACGTTTCCCCTCGTTCGGTTTCAGCGGCGGCAGCTTGGTACTAGTTCAGGCCCAGGTGATGATGGTCCTAGTTCAGGCCCAGGGTGACTGACGTTTCCCCTCCTCGTTCGGTTTCAGCGGCGGCAGCTTGGTACTAGTTCAGGCCCAGGTGATGATGGTACTCGTTCAGGCCCAGGGTGACTGATATACCCCCTCCCCGTTTGGTTTCAGCGGCGGCAGCTTGGTACTAGTTCAGGCCCAGGTGATGATGGTACTCGTTCAGACCCAGGTTGACTGACGTGTCCCCTCGTTCTGTTTCAGCGGCGGCAGCTTGGTACTAGTTCAGGCCCAGGTGATGATGCGGGACGACAGTATGGGCGGCTGGCTGCCCATGGGCGGCTGGGGACTCTCCAAGGTCTCCGTCCGAAAGCGACACCCTCGCTATGAACACGTCAATGCCGATCACCCCAAGACCGAGTACATCATCTTCGGCAAGCGCATCAACGACGGGGTGGTGAGTACAGAACGGCGCGGGCCGGTCCACGCGTGTAGTACTGGCTGGTTACACCTAACACCATACCTGTGATGTGCATGCAAACCCTGCAAATAATTATCTTCGTTTTTTCACGATGCCTTCTTGACGACTCAAGAACATATGGTGAACGTACGATTTGGGCTTGCCGATTCGTGAAAAAAAACTGAAAACTTAAGAATTTGATATTCAAATTTCAAACGCATTAATATGTATTGATATTTTGATATTTAATATCAATACGCTTTTAAAAAGCGCAAACTAAGTCGGCAATAAGTAGGCACGAATTGTGCTCAGGCACACAATATGCCCATTAACCCCGCTCTCCTCATTTTGTTCATCACACTTGAAATTACATGAAACATGGCTCGTCGTTGGACAGTACTCACAGTGGACACTGGACACCCATTGGGCGCATTGGGCGACGCATTTTGATGTATCACAGTAAAGGGTGCTACTGACTTGCTTGCGCACAGAGACCGCTGCTTCGTCTTCAGAACGGATGAGCCAATTGCGCTAAAAAGTGCTACGCTTTTAGGAGCGGCGTATGACTTGCACATTGAGGCCGATGAGTGACTTGGGTCGATGAGTGACTTGCACAATTCACATTGCACAAGCAGTTAGAGTTAAAGTCAGACTTTGCACGTGCTCGCTCACAATGGTGCTTATTTTGATAGGATGCTCCTTATGAAAACGCTGTCGATGTGATATTTGTCAGGCAAACTTGGCCCGTTTTTTTTTTTTTGCATCATTTTCTGTATCTTAGTACGACAGAGTGCTTATCTGGAAAGCGATTTGTTGTGTATGCTGTGATTCGTACGTAGCGGACCCATTACCAAGGGTGTCCAGATGCATCCTATGGAACCCACACTGGCCACAGTCATTTTTTTTTATTCAAACTAGCTGATCTATATATAACATGAATATTGAAAATCGAAACTATTGTACTCATACAACAGATGTAATCTCTGTTTGCTCTCCAGAGGCGCGATTGAGTCTTATATTGCACAGGAACTGTACGAGGTACTGACTTACCAGCAAGTAATGATGGACGGTTTCGGCGTTACTTCCAAGTTCCACCTGACTTCTGTCATTAGTTACTGACGAGCGCGGGTACGTCTGCTGATCGGGGACGGGCGGATCAGGAGGGTGCACATATCGTAGCCGTACAGGTGCTGTGGTCACCCGCCACGTGCTCCCTGTGTGTCGGAAGGAGCGCCGCTGACCTTTGCCGACTGAAAGCGGCGGCGGGCGGATGACGCCGTGCTGGCAGAGACGGCCACTCCAGCCGGGGCGGAACGGAGAGCGGGGGTGCCGTGGCCACCGGGTCCACTGGGGAACCACCGAGACCGGTGCCGGGTGTTTGGGGTCGGGATATACGCAGCAGCGCTGGGGTGATGCACTGCGGGATGAGGCGGCCCGGTTGGGTAGTTAATTGGCTCTAAGCCCAGGTTGTCGCGCTGGTCAGCCTACGTTGAACAGTGTGGCTCCAAGGTAGTTCGAGGCGCTTAACGCTCTTGCCAAATCTGACTTTTCGTTGCCCGTGCTGAGCGAACAAACGAGCGAGTCTTTCTTTGGATGAGGGGAAATCTTCGCATGTGCGACCCAACCCAGCCCCGTGACGATTTCGTAACACTAGGACAACCGTTCTATCGATCGGTGGCCTGTTGCGTAAGATGACCCATCATTTCAATCATGAGTTCAATACGTGGCAGTGTGGCTAAATTCATTTTACGTTAGGGGGAGGATGTAGAAAAAAGGTCGAAAAAGATGTCGTTATTTCCATAAAACTTGACTTCTACCCTTTTTAACCCACGAGCCGCTGGGGGGGGGGGGGGCATAAAGTTGCCCCCCTTTACGTTTTGTGAAAATCTCCGAAACCTGATAAGCTACGAACGTGAAACTTGGCATAGCTTCAAATGAATACCTAGGCAATGTTTGAGGAAAGTTTGGTGGTTGTAGCACCTAAGATGACGTCACAGTGACGTCATGACGTCACAGTGACGTCATTAAGTTTTGTCGTTTTCCGATATGGACCGTTTCTCATAACGCTGAGCATGAAACTCAACTGTAAATGAACTAGACAGCACCTGCTGTCATCCTAAAACATCTAACTACACTTCCATCTAGTTTCTGACCAATAATCGACCCTTTATATTCGGTCCCATATATCTGATGTATCGTGAGGAATATGAGAGTCGCAAATCTATGATTTCACTTATGACGTCACTGTGACGTCATTTCAAATGGGATCGACACCAAATTTGGACACAACCTCGGCTAGGTATTCAGGAAGATGTGTACAAAGTTTCGCTTCTCTATCTCTTCGCGTTGCGACGATATCGTCGCAGAAGTAAAGGGGGGGCAACTATATGCCCCCCCCCCAGCGGCCGGCGGGTGGCGCGGAGGCCCAGCTGGCCGCCGGGTTAAGCACTGTTTTTTTATTTATGTCACCAGAAAATGATGTAGGAACATAAAAATACTGATAAAACGTTGAAGACGTTCTGATATTCGGGATGTCAAATGAGGTTTATATTATGGTTTATATTATGGTTTATATTATGGAAGGGAAATGAGGTTCGGGTCATATATTTGAACATTTTGGTTATTCGAATGATTGTCTTAGCGTGTTGTGAGGGTTTGCGAGGTTTGTGTTGCCCTTGCTCCTAGACGTTTGGGTTCGAGGTTGTTATTATAAGTCGTGACTGCCGTGTGGATGTTTTTATTTACATTTTTAGGATGTCATTACACTTTTCACTATGGGTGAATTTCCCCGCAACATTACAATTTTGGACACACTGATACGTGGTTCGTATAGGTGACATGTGCCACTTGTCAAATCACAGAGGAAAAATTGTTCAGCTTACGTAACTACACAGTGACTGGACCGATCACACTCAAACTGGGTATACATTACATATAGCGGGAACCTATCGGGCGATGCTCTTCCATGTGTTTTGGTTGGGGTGCTACTGCACGTGCGTAGGTGCAGGGGCTGTTTCTGCTTCTCACGAACGGCTGGGTCGAACGCGCTAAGTTTAGTACACCGCTGATGACTGCCTAGAAGGGCAGCCTCATTTGTGCACGTCCAGAGTGCCGTTTCTACATCTCAAGAACGGTTAGACCAATTACTCTCAAATTCGGTAAATCGTATGGTACTAGCTAGAAGGGTGGGCCGCACATATCAGAATCTCACTCCGCACGTGCGCACGTACAGTTGTCGTTTTTGCAGTTTGGAACGGCTGGACCGATTGCGCTCAAAGTCAGCACGTCGTTAAGAACAGAGATATGAACCGAGCTGATCAGTTGCAGTCTCATTTTACACGTGCGTAAGCGCATGACTCGATATTGCGCTCGCTCTTTCGTTGTCCAAAAAGTGTCATGTTTGTTATTCCGACCGGTTTTTCGAACAGTTGAGGCAAGCAATTAGTTAGCAGGCGTTTATTAGTTTTTAATTAAAACATTTTCATTCACCCTCGCCCTGGTGGGGGGCTATTTTTTGCCCCTGTAACGTGGCGCCTTGCGCCCCCTCCAGACTTTTAGATATATCTCCAGAACCGCTGCGCCGATCGTCACCAAACTTTCAGTACCCTCCCGGGCATCAATTTTACACATTGTAGCTTGTAACTAATTTTTTTTTCCAAAGGCTATGAAAGGTTGGCTGTAAATGACGTCAGAGTGAAGTAATGTTCTGCCGTTTTCGACCCCAAAAAAAGGTTTCGCGGTAAGAACTGTCAGGCCTATAGCTTTGAAGATACAGAAAAACGTGTAAGACATAAAAGGTATAAAATTAGCAGGGCTACATAACTGCTATCTCGGATTTTTTCACCCCCAAAAATCATTACAATCGCCAAAAAATTCAAACAAATTTTCGATTTTCGAAAAAAAAACGGAATATATGTGATAGCCCTTACCGACTTTTATTCACATACCACATTTCAGATTGATACCTCTTTTTGGCCAAGTTATAGCGAAAAAACTGTTCAAGATTGATGACGTAAAGCTTTCAAACTCAATTTTTAGCAATTCTAGACTTGGTAGCACAGAACAAAGGCCACCGTTAGACTCCCCGTGACGAGCTGTATCGAATCAATACCCATTTTATGCAAAAATATCAACTTTGAAATTTGACCTTTTTACCTTTTTTGACCTAACCACCAGGAAGTGACCTAAACCGTTCCTGGTGGTCTTATAACCAACACCATTGAGTTTGAAATGAAAAATTATGTGCCATAAAACATGCATCACACAGCCCTAGTAAAATTGGGTTCATGTGCTGACCCTTGGTGACCTGACCTGTGACCTGACCTGGTATTATCAATGACCTCTAATAGCAACATATGTACTAGGCAACTGACGTCCTATCGCTGATTTTCGATAAAATGCGTTTTACTCGATGTTATAGCGCATTCCATAGAAGACCCGTGACCGGCAAAACTTTTTATCTTTGACCTGACCTGTGACGTCATCGGTGACCCCGAGTTCAATTTAATTGGATTTAATTGGACAAATTTGATAGGGCTTTCGAACGCCGTTTGAATTTTGCGGATCCGTCCATTAGTTTCGGAGATACGAGGGAGAGGGGGCAAAAATAGCCCCCCCACCAGGTCGCGTTATACCTAAACGGACCCCACCAGGGCGCTGGTTAAGCATGCGATTGTCCTGAGTATTTCACGTTAAATATTTCCAGCCGGTGATTCAATGATGCATTATGATGCATGATGCAAATGTAAAAAGTTCCTTCGTGGTCTTTTAGTATACCGTAGGTCAAGATCATTGCTTGTTTCCTGAATCATCGCAGTAATAGCAATATGTACCTATATCAAAAATAAAATTGTTGCTGTCTTAGCGAACAATGTGTTTACGTTACATTAGAAGTAACATTGCACTCGCGCTCCTCTTTGCGACTCCCCATACATTTACTTTGTTGAAACTGGCTATAACTTATTTTCAGTATGATGGCCTTTTAGTCCAGAACCCGTGCTGAGTTGCTTAGTGCTCACACGCAAGGCTACTGGTTAGTGATAACCTTTGACCTTTTAGGTCGCCATTCGACATTGGCATTTAGTTATTGCATTTGATTATTTATATGTTTATCGGGATTCCCTATTCGGGAAGTTCGTTACAACTTCGAGTCTTGAGTTCTAATGTGCGCATACATTGCCACAACAATATTGCGCGAGACTGTCATGATGACGATAATAGCAACCGCCTCACCAGTTACAAGGCACGGACCTGGTTTTGGATTCGGAAAGGTTTTTTAAAACTTTTTCGTTTCAACGTTTTTTTTTTTTGCCAGTCTAATGTATAGAAAATGCATCAATAAACACCTCCATTTATTCAGACGTTCTTGGTGCATTTGTGAGACTCGTCTCTGTCACGTTGGCTGCTGCCGAGCCTCGGTAGCTCGTCGGCTCGTCTCCATACCGGGCTGGCTGCCAGGGTCGCCGGCCCGGCACAGGTGGAGCCACCTACCGGGACGGCCGCCAGATGGCAGCCGACCCGTCACCCACCGGCTGAAAATCGATGGCCGCCGCCGCGCCTCCCTGCCCGGCTCCCGCCCGGCCGCCTACCTGGCTGTGTGTCCTGCCGTCCTACCTGTCCTCTGCCCGCCTGTCTACAGGTCTGCCGAGATAGCCAGGACATGCATGGGGTGGGGTCCGTTCAGTATAGGTCCTGGGGTTCGGTGCTGAGGCATCTACTGTACATGTCACGGGAAGAGGGGCACGGGGCAGAGCAGGAGAACAGGGTGGAGAGTGATGAGGTCCAAACGCTGGTGCAATGTTAGGGGAAAAATTGATTATGCTGGTATGTACCTCAATAACTACAAATCCCTGGCCCGGAATCGGCAGAAGACGAACTAGCCTGTTTTCTAGTCTGCTGGTTAATGGTTATTCCCTGACATATATGCTCTGGGCTTAATCATGTAACGCTAGTAGCGCGAAATGATTACCTTGCTGAACACATGCATGCTCCAGTAAAAAGCTTGTATAAAACATCATATTTACACTGATGCACAGGTTTGCTGTTACACGGTCATAGTTACCTACCCCGATTGATTGGCAGTGTTTTGCCAGGAAAATGGGCCTGATACGATCTTGTACATAAGCAATTATTTTTGCGGGTTTTCAGTGTGTAAATGCTGAAACACTTGCTGTACGGTGCCTCACATCTAGCACTAGGTGTTCGGTCGCCCCCAGTGCTGTGTAGTCTGACGTTAGCCATTCTAGTGGCATCGCTCTCCGAACGTGCGTGTTGCTTACCAGCGAAAGTCTTGCCCTGCTCCTCGCTTTATGCCAGTGTGGTCTGTAACATCAAGATTACTTTACTTGGTAACAGAGCTGTCAACTATCAGGATGTTCTCGTGTGTTCCTGTAGAGGTAAAATCACTCAGCCCCCTACCAGAACCGGTGGCCAGCCCTCCTGTTTTGACACCACCCTCGCCCCTGTGTGTCCACAGTCCGTACTAAACTGCACAATCAAGAAGGACTTTGTGTACCACAAGGTGATGCCGACATTCCACCACTGGAAGACTGGCGAGAAGAAATTCGGCCTCACCTTTCAGACGGCTGCCGACGCGCGAGCATTCGACCGCGGCGTGCGTCAGGCTGTGCAGGACCTCCTAGACGGTACGTCTGCTGTCAGTCAGTCCAACAGTCAGCCTGTCCATCCGTCAGTCTGTCTGTCCTTTTTGTTTGTCCGCCAGTTTGTCTCTCTGTCTGTGTGTGTTTGTCTGTCTGTCATTCGACCGCGGCGTGCGTCAGGCTGTGCAGGAGCTCCTAGACGGTACGTCTCCTGCCCTTCTGTCTGGCAGTCTGTCTATCTGTCTGTCTGACCGTCCTTCTTTCTGTATGTCCGTTCGCTCGTCCGTCCGTCTACCTTGTCTACCCTGTCTATCCGTCTTCTGGTCCGTCTGCCCGTCCGTCTACCCGTCCGTCCGTAATCGGTCTATCCACCCTTCGGTCCGCGATCCGTCTGCCTGTCCGTCTTCTCGTCCGTCCGTCTAACATTGTCTCTGTCCGTGTGCCCTTCTGTCCGTCCGTGAGTCGTCGACTCCCGACCCGTCTCCACGCCTGTCGTGGTCGGGCTCAGGGTGATCGAAGGGACAGGGTATTTATTATTTGTGTCTGCAGTTGCTGTCGGGTGATGATTGGACGGTTCGCGAGCATTACTCGATAATCTTGTCGTCACGGACGCTAAGAAATACCTGTATCCAGGTTTATATAAGTTTATACTGTGGCGTATTTGAGGTGACGGTTACCGTGCCACCCCGCTCCGTCTCGACTTGTTTTCGTTCGTTGCTGAGGCAGGTTATCGCGAGTGGGACATTGTCAGAGTAAATTTAGAAAAGAATAGGGACACTAATGCTGTGGTATCCACGGCTTGTGCTCCACATTCGAAACGTATTGAAATACGTTACCTAAATGCGCTACTTAGTCGTTCACATGGCTACAAAATTGTTCTACCATTTTAAATTACCATTATCTAGTATATGTATCAGGTCTCCACAGTGCTTCAAAACATTGAAAAAAAGAGTACGAGTCCTGAACCGTAGACACACTGCACGAGACGCCTACTTTCAACGCTATCTACGCATTCGGTGCCGTTCGGTCACCAAGCTTATGTATTGATGACACTAATCGGTGCATAGAACTGGTCGGCAATCAGCAGCATACAGTGGTGTCAGGCCAACTTATCAAAAATGTGGTCTTTTTCGCCGGTCTTGCAATGCTCCCCGCTGAGCTGAGGCGCATGTCGCGTCCCTGTCGGACATCGTAGTCTTGTCGCGGTCTATCTCTGGGTGTAGTGGGGCGGGTCAGAGCGGCCGGTCCCCTGACGTGTCGCGGCACACACCTGGGGGCGTCGGCCACCGGTGGAGGCGACTGGTCAGACGCGGGGGCGCCGGATACACCTGTGGGAACGGCCTGACACGCGCCGCAGCGCCGGCCGGTGGCCCGCGGGTGACTCACCCGGGTACCGACAGGGTCACAGGCGGCAGGAGATGTTAGCACATGGCGCGGTACCCTGGTCTGGGTGCCGCGCAGACACGGTGCCCAAAAAGGTCACTGTTGCTCGTGTTGGCTGGCCTTAGGTTAGGGACATTGGAGGTGGTGCCCCGTCAGTTGTTCAGCCGTTCGGCACTATGCTTTGCGAAGGGGAGGGCAGGACAAAACAAAAGCCACCGGGTGCTTTATCGTTTTCCAACGTTTTAAAGAAGCGGTTTTGACAGCCCCAGGGATCAGGTTGTTTAAAATGGATTCACCGGCGATTGGTGCGATTGCAAGTATTATCCATTAAACTCAAGGATGGGTTATTCTCGACTGACTGTTAATTGATCAGTCTCCACTCCATGGACATCAGATAGCAACAACTAATAGGAATTTCTGGAACCCATTGCTTTTGTATCCTCAGTATGTGTTTTGTGTTGGTAACCATACGCAGATATCTCGAAAACCATGTTTTGCTAACGTTTTTTGAATATTTCATCTAGGATCTGTTGATATTACGATGAAAAGAGTGTTGTGGATATCTGATGCTGCTGTGCTAGTTTAATTTAGTCATCCCAGCTCAGTTTCATTAGCGGCTCCAGGGGGCTTTGTAAAATCATATTGTTCGTGCTCGCGTTTGCTCTACGCCCACTCGCTGTTGCGGGAGAATGTCTAATGCGGCGCAGCAAGGCGCGGCGCAGGACATTGATGTTGGAACAGCGCAAAAAGTGAGGACATAAAACACTTGTGCTCTTAGATGCAAAACCCAGAAAGCTGTAATATTCGTCTCTCCTAAGTGGTTTGCGTCTGATTGCTTTTTACTTCTTCTGTTGTGTACACAACGTAACAGTTGTTCTTGTGGGAAGCAAGTAACTATTTACTAGGCAGTTCTCTGCACTCTGCATTTTCTTGTGGCTATGTCTGATAGTGTTGCGTACACTTCGTGCCTAAACTGCCTACTCTAACGCTGGTTTCTCTTCTCTCTTTCCTCTTGCCACCTGAACGTTGTATCAATCGGTAAGTTTCTTGGTTTTCTCATTAGCTGTAATCTCTCGCAGTACTGCAGTCTGTCTGTGTCGCTCTTTTCTGCTGTCCATCGCGTGCAATTTTCGCCATCACTCGTATCTGCTCTGCCCTTACACATGCTGTGCTGTGTTATAGTTGAACGATAGTGTGATACAGACATCTCGTCAGCTGTGTACTCGTATATGTGAATAATGAATGAAACAGTGGTCGGATACTTGTAAACCCTGAAAGCCTGCACCACTCCGCCCCCTCCAGTTATCAGTGGAACCTGCTGTGTTTACTCCTACCCTTGGTCCTACGCGAATCATTTCGAGACCCTTGTCCAAATGTCGAAAGGGTGTCTTTTTTGCATCAATCCATCCATCCATCCATCCATTCATGAGAATATAGTTATAAGAGAGAAGCTACCGCATTACGTCAGTGCCTCGATCAGCTCTGCAATACGCACAACGCCTTTGAGCTACTCCGCACTACCAATTTACGACTCCTGTAACCGGGGGGTCGTATGTAGGCCCCAGTCTGGGGTCCGGCGGCGCGCTGGCGTGGCCGGGCCGGCGGCGGCAGCCCGGTCGGACCGTGCAGCCGGACGGCCATCGACCGGCCGCCCCCGCGCGCTGCCCGCCGCCCACGGCCGAGCCAAGTGGCGCTGCCGGCACGGCGCTGCTGACGGCTGCCCCCCGCGACCCGACCCTCCAAACGCACCGATACACTGACTCGTCGAATCGCCGGGAAAATGGTTGATGCATATTGCACACGGCGGCGTTTTTTGTTTTCCGTTTCCAGCGTCCTGTGCGTGTCTTACATGCAGTGGCTCGCACTGTAGAACGAAATTGATGGCGATTTTCTGACTGTTACCTAATTCACACCCTTCACTCTCAGTGAAAACTGAACATTGTAAAACGATGTCAGGGCGCAGTCAGGATGACATTCTTCATCACTAGGCTGATATTGATTTGCGATGCAGGTGACCCATTTCCCTAGTTCCATCCCCACCATCCCGGTGCTCCCCCTCCAAGCTGTGACCGAGTGTGCTGTTTGTTGTGCGCTGTGTGTGTTGTGTGCTGTGTGTGCTGTTTCCCGTCCGTGTCCGCTGCTGACGGCCGCCCGGTCCGCCGCAGGTCTGTCCGACTCGGACTCGTCTCCGCTGTACGTCACTCCGCCACCGCCGCACGACCGACCGCCGCCGCCACCGCCGCCGCTGCACGGCCGACCCCCGCCGCCACCGCCTCCCTCGGTCACCCGGCCAGATCTCGGAGACAATGATGTGTTCATGGTGAGTCCGGGAGCTGGTTCAGAGGCCGTGGTAGCTCGCAGAGTCGCCGCCCCAGCGTCGGGCCCAGGTTCAAAGCCGTTCATTGATCGTTTCCCCCGCTCTGTGACATGCGCCTGAAGCGTCTCATCGCTTCAGCAGCGCCCAACGAACGATGATGACGAGGTCCTCGCAGTTCGGTTGCGCGTCATGTATTTGTACTGGCGTACCCAGCGCTGAACAGTCTGGCTGACTGTTGTCGTGTGATGCAACGGCCACGGCTGTGCGGCGGACCCATTCAGCGGGCGTGGGCGTTCTCCGTGACCCCGCGGCCGCCTGTCTGGGTGAGCCGGATACGGGCACGTGCTGCCACCTAAGGCCTCGCGCCCCAGCTGCAGTCGCCGCCTGCAGGTCGTCGGTAGAGCGGCGTCCTGTGGAATGTGTCCGGCGTCGGACAGATCAATGCGGCGTAATATAATGTGACTTTGGTAGAGGAATTGATGTTGGTGATTCAGTATGGGAGTAGTGTGCGTATCTTGGTAAAACACCTTGACAGTTTCAGTCAGTGTTTCCATACGACAACTGCGAAGTGTACTCTGAAGTCAGTACCTGTTTCGCCGTCAAGTCAGCGAATCAGTCAGTTTATACACGCCTGCCCCACTCCCGGCTCTTGCCACTGCAGTATCTGCCGTCTATTCATGAGTGCGTGTATTTGTCTGCAGCTGGTCGTGTGGCCTGTCTGCACGCTGTGCCCACCTCCTATGTTGTTGCGTTTGAGATGTCTTGAGCTGACCATACAACCACCCCTACTGTTCGCACCCCCGTTACCGTCCGCTCACCGTCGCTGTGGTGTGCCGGCAGACGCTGGAGTTGCCGGTGGACCGGTACGACAGCCGCTCCTCCTCCGACTCGTCCGTGTCGCGACAGACGGCCGCCTCGCCGCAGTCGGCGCTGCTCCACCGCATGGCGTTCGGCCCGACGGCGGCAGCGGCCGTGCCGGCGGCCGGCGGCGGCGGCGGCTCGGCGCCTCCCACCGGCCCGCTGTCGGACGAGAGCGCTGCCTCCGAGTACCCGTACGTGCAGTTCGCGCGCGACCGGCCCTCCAAGCACGAGTACAGCTACCCGGCCATGGAGGACCTGGTCAAGCAGAAGGAGCTGCTGAAGCGCAACGCCGAGACGATGCACCTGACGCAGCCGCCGCTGCCCAAGAGCGGCAAGCGCCGGGTGGAGACTCGGCGGCCGCTGCCGCGCCGCTGTCGCCACTGCCAGGAGCCGTACGACGAGGAGTCGAACGGGCGCGGCCAGTGCGAGTACGCTCCGGACCCGGTGCGGAGCTGCCTGGAGGCGGTCACCTGTCTGCCGGCCGCCCAGTGCATGCTCTACCACTGCTGCGCCGACTCGGAGGGCGACTTTGGCAGCGGGCCGTGCGCGTGCGCGCCGCGCGAGGAGCGCTGCGCGCGCCGGTGGCTGGGCCTCACCCTGCTGTCGGCGCTGCTGCCCTGTCTGTGCTGCTACCCCCTGGTGGCCGGCTGCTACCGACTCTGCCGGCGCTGTCACGCCTGCGGCGGAAGCACGGGCCCTCTACGCACCCGTAGTGAATACACACACACACACTGATTATGCGCACGGAAAGGAGAACCAGCCCACCGGCCGCCTGGCTACTGCCGGCGCGCGCTCCCGCAAGTCGGGCGCGCACATACATTCTATGTTTGAACAATGCGATATATGGATAGAGCGTATATGCCGAACCGAGTGCGGTTTTTTGTCGAGTGTTGACGCCGACCGCCGCCGGGCCGCCGCCGCTGTCACCGATTTTTATAAGTCACGCGTGTGCTGCTCGTCATCCAAAGGGATCCCAATGTCTCTAGGGCTCAGGGGACATTGTGACGCTCTTTGGAAGCTGTCTGCATTTGGTTCTGTGTTTGACGGTGGACGCTGCGCGTGTATATGAATGTGATATATGGCGGGCGGCGGCGGCCGGCGGCGCGCGCGCGCGCATACACGCTCTCCGCACGACGCCAGTGTTATATTGCTGGGAAAGAGAGCGAACGTGAGCGAGAGCGAGAGAGAGCGAGCGAGCAAGACGAACGTGAGAGTGTCACTTGAGACACGGAGAGGCGAGGGCAGGCGCCCGTACCCGGCCCGTGCCCGATGGGCACGGCCGCACGGCTCGCGCGCTGTAGGCTCGGGCAAGCTTTACCTTGGGCTGCGGAGATTGTCGGGCCGTTTCCAGTGTGTGGGAATTTTTGCGGGCGCGTGCGCCTGGCCGGCCCCCGCAGTCGCCGCGCGGCGTGCGCCGTTTTTTAGTCGTGACATGTGTCGCCAGTGGAGTCGCGCCCGCGTGCGCACACACAACGTTGTAATGTAATCCTCATCTTTGTGAACTGGACTCATCGCTGCTGTCATTTGTTCCTAAATACATGCCGCTTAACACCCGCACCCAGTGTGATGCCTGCGCTCTGGGGAACGGTGGGAGGCTGTGGAGACTGCTGTGGGATCCGGGCCGGCCGTACAGTGGGCTCATAATATCCGTCATCTCGGAGGTGCGTCGTGGTGAAAGCGTATTCGCCAGAGTGCTGATATTTGTGGACTGCTTTAGATGCTGGAGTAGATACTAGCTTATCGGTTGTGCGATCGGACCGAGATGGCTGACGGAGGAAGGATCAGTTAAAAGATATCAAAGATACATAAGATTCTTACAGATAGACGGACAACAGACATTCAGCCAATCATCTGCCGACTGCCAGAGCAGCGTAATGGGCCCGGCCGAATATCTGACTGCCAGTAGCAGATTCACGGATATCAATCTGCTGCTAATATTAGAAGCTTTTATTGATTTAAAAATAATTTAATTAAGCTAGCAGAATAGAATTGAATTGAAACTTTTTTCGTTCAAAATTCCGATTGCCATAGAAACTTGAGTGAAACGTGCTAGCGATCGAGGCGTTGAACAGGCTTTCGATATCAGCTGAGTGACCGATGATTCGTCGCTAGTGCGCCGTGTCTGTAGTCTATTTTTAGATTACGGTGCAGAAAAAAATTGGGCGTTCCGTGCCGTCCGTGCCGAGCATTTCTCGGATAATAAGTAAAGAAAAGTGAGTCAAGTGGATCAGTGTTTGCAAACACATACTTTTTTGTGAGTTGTAAAATGCGGCTTCTTGAATCTTACGTAAGTGTATGGTTCGATGGTTTTCGGGCTATCTATAAATAGTTTCAGCGTTCCGTGCCTGCGGTTATCCCAATCCCGCCTCGCCTCAATCGTAAGTAGTTACATGATTTTTCCAACAGTATTGCTGAAATGAAATACGTTTGAATGTGCTTGAATTATCTCTCAACTGACTGTGGTCTGTGACTCAAATAGGCAGAAAATCTTCCTGGGCTAATCATGTATGAAATGCTACCTAGTACCTGCAGTCTCAAATTTGTTTGTATCAATCGTACAGCTAGGATCATAATTTGCTCAGAAATGGAAAAAGCCCATAGAAATCATCACAAACACCTGAACTTGCAAAAAACAAAAATAATATTACTATGTGATGCGCACTTCCCAACTCCCAGTAGGTGTGTTCGCTATGCCCAGCTTTCCAGAGCGCTGTTCGGCAGCCAGCTATTTTGTTGCAGGGTAGGTATGATGCATTCCGTGAGCCGACATCACG